CAAGAATGTCTACTGAGGTCTCCTCAAGTATAGCATACTTTGCCTTGTCACTGTGACTCTCCTTTCTACTCAACGCGTCTGCATTTTGGTTACTTCTACCAGACCTATACTTTATAGAAAAGTTAAACTGGGCTAAATTGGCTGCCCACCTAGTTTATATGGCTCATAACTTAGCAGTTGTTTTGTCAGCTAACTGCATCTGTTTCAAGTCTCTTTTTGAAATAGATGGAAATGTTGAAATTGCTTGTGGTTCGATTTTACTTGATTTTGCTCGTATCTCATTTAGTAACACTTTTGCAGTTGCTTGTGCTTGGATGCAAGTTGGTTTAGGTAACGAAGTAGAGAGTTTTTGAATTGGAAATTTGTGAGTAAGAATGTCTACTGAGGTCTCCTCAAGTCTAGCATACTTTGCCTTGTCACTGTGACTCTCCTTTCTACTCAACGCGTCTGCATTTTGGTTACTTCTACCAGACCTATACTTTATAGAAAAGTTAAACTGGGCTAAATTGGCTGCCCACTTAGTTTCTATGGCTCCTAACTTAGCAGTTGTTAACAAATAACTTAAAGGGTTGTTGTCTGTGAAAACAGTAAATTCAGCACCTATTAGAATGTCACGGTATTTCCGAGTAATTCCCCAATACAATGCTAACAATTCTAATTTCATACTAGAGTAATTTTGCATATCTCGCTCATTCGGTTTAAGACCTCTACTAGCATAACCCAAGACTACTACTTTGTCACCCTGTTTCTGTGATAATACTGCCCCTAACCCTTTATAACTGGCATCAGTCTCCAAAATAAAAGGTGATTTAAAATTTGGATAACTTAACACAGGTGGCGATACAAGAGCTTGTTTTAAACAGAGAAAAGAATTCTCACACCACTGATCCCATGATTCTGTGATCTGGCGATGCAGGTTAGACTTGACGTAATGCTTCTGCTTGCCTTTTTTCTGACTGGATATGTTATCAGGTTTTCTGAGTAGGTTCTGCAAGGATGCAGCTAATTTAGCGTAATTCGGTATAAATCTCCTGTAATATCCGGAAAGACCTAGGAAACCACGTATTTCACGCTCAGTTTGTGGTCTTGGCCAATTCTGTACTGCTTGTACTTTCTCAGGTAAAGGAGAAGTGCCATCAGCACTAACGATGTGACCAAGGTAACGAACAGAAGAGCGAAATAATTGACACTTGCTTGGTTTTAATTTCAGATTGAGTTTTGTCAGGCATGAAAGAACCATTTCTAGTCG